AGCCCTGTACCACCTTTTGTATATCCTTTTGTCAGTGTCTGACATGAGGATGAGTCACGGCCATTGCGTGACCAATTTGCTCTCTGTGAAAGCTTGCAAAAATGCTTTTTCTCTCCATGTGACTCTCCCTAGGCTCACTTTAGATCCTCGAACACATTTCTCTGTTGGCCTAGAGTCTTAACTGCCAATGCAATCCTCATTCTCAAGTGAAACCTCCTGAGTCTGGGTCTTTACCTGCTGCCTTTCTATCAGCCTTGTGGTCTTCTGAGTTCTGACTAGAATCTCATATCAAGCTTGGCTGACAGCATTCTAGGGTCTGCTTGTTTCGCTAGCATCTCTAAACTTTTCCAAATTCTTCCCTTAGGCCAGTTTCAAAAGCTTTGGAACCACATGGCCAGGTAGTCTCACAGCATAGACCCTACTTCCCTTGTACCAAAATCTGTCTTAGTTACTTCATTGTTGTTGAGACAAAATACCTGACACCCACAAGTCAAAGGAGGAAAAGCAGAGGAGAAGTAGTTCATGGTCTGGCAGGCAGGAAGCAGAGCTTTCCTTCTTCTTTCCTTTTTATTTCATCTAGACTGCAAGCCTACTGATTGGTATTAATTATGATAAATCATAAGCGTGCTAATCTAATATCAAATATCCATGATCTAGTCACTCCCAAAAGCCCTACATATGGGCACATGAGGCTTTGGGAGGACATATAGATGTAAGTCATAACATTGCCTAATATCACACAGACTAGATCACACAGAACCATAGGACAATTTGTAACCACACCAGGTGATTCACAGAATTGAAAGGAAAGTTGAGAAATGACCATAAAAGCATGAGAACTCAGGCAGCAGGGAGTCCAGCAGAATCATAGCACAGATGGTCTGATTTGAGAATCACACTTGACTCTTCTGCTACTGTTGGAGACTATCAATTATTGCTTTATTTTTGTGTCTTTCCAAGTTTGGTTAACTGGGGGTGTAGCTCACAGGTAGTGTACTTGCTTAGCATGCACAAGGTTCTGAGTTCATTCCCTAGTACTACAGGAAAAAGGAAAGCAAGAATCAAGTGGGAGCAGCTGTATAGTTTGTGGGCTTCATCTGATGTGCCATGGTTCCAGCTGCTAAGAAATGAAGAGACTGGCCTGCATGGTTTCTGTATTTAGTTCTACTTGCCACTTAGACTGACTCAACCAAAAATTCCTCCCATGTAGGGAGAATATTTGGATGCTGGACAACAGTGATACAGAGGGCAAGTGTCTACTGTACCAGCCATGGACATATGTGGGTGTCGATATGCATTTTGCTGCAGACTGGCTGGTTTTTCCTGAGACTGAAGTCTGCTTATTAGAGTTAAATAGGACTTTCAGGTAATACTCAAAATACTCAAAACAGGGTTTTTACACAAGACCAGTGGCTGTGTTTTATTCTTCCCCCCACAAAAATTGACTACTATAGAGGTAAGTGACCAGCAGAACCCACCAGATTGTTAGGCACAATCTAAGAAGGGAATGTACAAATAATGGGCCTGCAGTGAAAAAACCCTTGCCAACTTCTGGTTAATTGATCCTCAGTGTGGTATTTTTACATCTTATATATATATATATTTTTTTTAAATGTATTTGGTACAGGGTCTCACCACACAGTTCAGACTCATAGTGATCCTCCTGTTTTCAGCCTCCTAGGCCCTGGGATTACAGGCGTGTGCTACCATGCACCATCTCAGTGGATGGCCTAGCCCACCCGAGGGCTGGCCATGTGTTGCCAGGGAGTGAATCCTGGTCCCTGCGATTGCCTAAATAGGTGCTTAGTCTGCTGAGCTATCTTGCCAGCCCTGGATTTGCATTTTATTAGGCAGTGTTTGATGACAGCTTTATCTAGTTAATCATATTAAAATGTTTTCGTGTGTGTGTGTGTGTGTGTGTGTGTGTGTGTGTGTGTGTGAGAGAGAGAGAGAGAGAGAGAGAGAGAGAGAGAGAGAGAGAGAGAGAGAAAAGAAAAAATTATTTGCTCCATATGCCTTTGTACTTCTCCAAGATTCCTGGTCATAAAACTAGAGATTGTTGCAGAGTGGTGGTGGCACATGCCTGTAATCCCAGCACATAAGAGTCTGAGGCAGAAGTATTGGTGTGAGTTGGAGACCAACTTGGGCTACAAAGTGAACTCAAGGCCAGTCTGAACTGCATAGTGAGACTCTGTCTCAAAGACAAGACAAAAACAAAAAACAAAGAAAAAAACCTAGAGATCATATAGTTTTTAAATGCATGGCATAGAATAGATACCTTAAAAGTACTTGAATGATTGATTAAATTTTCCTTAGTCGTCTTTTTCTAAAACAGAATTGATTCTTGTGAAATAATAGAATTTTTTCTTGAAATATTTTTATAATTTTTATTTATTTATTTGAAGGAAGGAAAGGTTTATTTAGCTCACAATTAGTGGAGGTTTCAGTCCATATTTAGCTGGCTCCAAGGCAGAGCGGCACATAGCAGAGGGCAACCTTTCATGGCATCAGCAAAGAGCAAGAGCGCAAAAGGAGAGATAGCAGCTGCTAGCTTCTCTTCCCACCTTACATTGTGATGCAAATTACCTGCCCCAGGGCAGGTACACCATCCTCACCTACAGTAATCAATCACAAACTCTAGAAGCCACCCCAAAACTGCATGAGGCTTTGGGGGTACACTGTACACAAACCATAACATACCGTCCCTGGACCCCCAAAGGCTCATGCATATCCCTTTATGCAAAAGACATTCTAGTCCATCTCTGAGTTGCCAAAGTCCCAACAGTTTTAGCATTGCTGAAAAGTCCAAGTCCCAAGTCTCCTCAAGATCCAAGGCAAACTTTCAACTGTGAGCCCCTGTACAAATGAAAACTTAAACATTTGCAACATTCAAAGGCACAAAACAAACATTACCATTCCAAAAGTTACACACAGCAGGATACCAAGCATTGGGACCAACACAATTCCAAAATTCAGCAGTGCAAACATTAAGTCCTACAGTTCCATGTGGAACATCTGAAGCAATCTGTGGCAAATTGTGAGCTCCATGAGGCTCCGCCCCTGTGGCACTCTTGGTGGTAGCTCCCATAGCATCCCTGTTAGGCTGACTTTGCTCCCTCCTTGCAGTGTCCCTTAGATGATCCACATTCCTGGCTTTTCCAAACTTCTGGGGTTTCCACTGAATAGGCTTCTGTCTCATAGCTTCACACACTGCCCTCACGGAGGCACACTGCCTGGCCTCCCAGGCCTTCTGAAATCAAGGTGGAAGACTTCTTAACCTCAGAACACCTGCATTCTGCAAGCGCCTAAAACCAATGCCACGTGGATGATGCCAAGGTCTGCTGCCAGCTGGAGCAGTAGCCAGGCTTTCCTTTCTCTTGGATGTAGGGGTCGAATGCTTGGATGGCTGAGCACTCTGATCCTGATTCCGAGGAATAAGTTCTCCATGTGAGCGCCATTCTGGAACCTGGTGTGGCTGCTGCCTCTATTCTGGAACATGGGGCTCTCCAGTTTTCCCCTCAAAGCAAAGTTCCTGACGTTTGCAATTCTGAGGCTGCAAAGGGTGGAGACCTGCTTCCTCCTGTGATGCCCTCAGGCCATCCTTTCCATTCCCAGGTTCCTTCCCGGCAGTGGAGATCCTCTCAGCTCCATCTTTGCAGTCCACAGCTTTACTAGTGCTTTCTTTCTGGCCAAACTCAACAACATTTTGGACCATCCTGCTGGGCTCCTCGCTCTTCATTTTCAACATAAATCTAGCTAAAAGCCCCCAGTAACAACCAGGCCACTGCCCCAATATTTGGCTACTTTGAAATATCTTTTGCCAGATTGATCAGTCCACCGTGCTTAAACTCAGTCTTAGGCAAAGTCTCTGGACACAAGCAAAATGCAGACAAAGCTCCTGCCAAGTCAAAACACAAATGATCCGGAGTCCAACAACCAATGCAGTCCTTCCCAGCAAGAACCTCCCCAGCCTGGTCTTTGTAGGCCAGTTTTCTATCACCCTTCTGGTCTTCTGAGCTCTGACCAGAATCTCCCAAACAGAACAGCCGAAGCTGTTCCACCTCTTCACAAGTAGGCAACATCTCCAAACCTTTCCTGTCTCTTCCCATAAGCCATTCTCAAAAGCTTGTAATCCACATGGTCAGGTTTATCCACAGCAACGACCCCACTCCTGCAGTACCAATTTCTGTCTTAGTTACTCTTTTGTCGTTGCTGGGACAAATACCCAACACCCAAATTGTAGGAAGAAAAGGTTTATTTAGCTCACAGTTACTGGAGCTTTCAGTCCATACTGAGCTGGCTCCAAGGCAGAATGGCACGTGGCAGAGGGCAACCTTTCATGGTGGCGGCAAAGAGCAAGAGCTCAAAAGGCTCTAATTTTTATTTATTTATTTATTTATTTATTTTTTTTTTTAAATTTTTTTTTTAACATTTATTTATTTTTTGTGTGTGTGTGTGTGTGTGTGTGTGTGGCCAGCTCAGCCCACCAGGGGGCGCGGCTGGCTGGCATGTGGTGCTGGGGATCGAACCGCGGTCCCTGTGCTTTGCCAACCTTGTTCCAAGTAGGTGCTTTAGACCACTGAGCCATCTCTCCAGCCCCAAGGCTATAATTTTTATAGATAAAAAAAATTCTAAGCTTTCAATGGGAGGAACCATTGACATTCTCTCTGCTTTTGTTTTCACAGGTGTTCCAGGATTTGGGGACTGAAGTATTATCTGGAGCTGCCAAAGGCTACAACATCTGCCTTTTTGCCTATGGACAGACAGGCTCTGGGAAGACATATACCATGCTGGGGACCCCAGTGAGTCTTAGCACTATCATGAGCTGCCTCTGAATGGAACAGCAAACCTGCATCTTGTATTGTCCTTGCCAGTGTTACACAACATGATTTCCATAGTCAAATTTAGCAAGATTTACTTCAGCCCTCTTCTATGAGCTTTTCACCTCTGTAACTGCAAGGTAAACTTTGGATATCTTAGACTCTGAAGGACCTTAGAATTCTATAGATGTCTTGGACAAAGTAGTCCTTGTCAAACTGACTGAATTTGTTACATTATTTCCAAGTTCATCACCTCAGTTTCCTTAACACATTTATTTTGGACAGACCTGAACTGAATCTTTAGTGCTGACTGGGGCTGAGCCTAGATGAGATTATTTAGCCTAGTTCAAAGGCTATATGTGTTAGATCCGTATGTAAGAGGGAGATGGGGAATGAACTGAGGTATGGGAACAGTCAAAAGTTAGTAGGGTTTAATAAAGGCCTTTTTTATTTCTGAAAATTAGGAGGGAAGTATTCTTTAAGAATACTTCTGGGAGCCTGCCCTGTAGTTCATTTCTTTAAGTGGCTACTTCAACAAAGCAGTCAGGCTCAGGTTGCTGTGGTTCAATCCCCAGGACTCAAACCTTCCCAGAAGGCATTCGGAGCCAGCCAAAAAAAAAAAGAATACTTCTGAGGGCTGGCCAGATAGCTCAGCAGACTAAAGTGCCTGCTTAGGCAGGCTCAGGGACTGGGGTTCCATCCCAGCGTGCTGTGCTGGCCCCGCCCCCAGGGTGTGCTGAGAGGGCAATTGAGACTGGGTATGGTGACGCACACCTATAATCCCAGCCTTTGGGAGGCTGATAATAGGAGGATCACTATGAGTCTGATAGTGAGACCCTATACAAAATACATAAATGAAAGTACAAAATAAATTGAAAAAAAAAAAAAGAAAAGAATACTTCTGCTGGAGCTGGGCATGGTTGTACATGGCCTGTAGACTCATCTCTCCAGAAGCTGAGGCAGGAGGATCACCTTGAGTTTGAGGGCAGCCTGGTTACATACTCAAGATCAAGACTAACCTGTACTACATAGTGAGACTCTGTCTCTAAAAAAATCACCTGCAGAAACTTCGTGTTTTAAGTTCATAAGTATTGGGTCAGGGAGATGGCTCAGTAGAATAAGCACTTGCCTGGCAAGCACAAGGTCCTGAGTTCAATCCCTGGTACCGCCAAAAAAAAAAAAAAAAAGTTCATAAGTGTCTTAGTTGAACTTGTAGAGTGGATAGCAAATGACACTATCCAGTGATATTCTCTATTTTTTTTTCTTCCAGAACTGGGGATTGAACTCAGGCCCTTGCACTTGCCAGCCGTCTCCCCAGCCCCCATGTTCTCTGGGACACTGTTCCTCCTAAAAGATTATTCTGCTACCTTGGGTTCTACCCATTGCTTCCTTTATTCCTATTTAGTATGGTTTTGCATACTTAAAATTCAAAGAAGAAATTATTTCTTAAACCAAGGAGCATAAAGTCCTTAAATTGGATAGAAGATAGAGAAAGAAGCTACTTCTCTCTAGATTTATATTTTATAGCCCCCATGTCATCTAATCCTCTAGTGTTTAGGGATAAGAGGTAGGGATCTTGAGGACACAGTAGTAAAGCCAGTTTATTCCAGAAGGTTGTCACCTTCATTGTATGAAGGTACATGTCTAGGTTTGCTAGCTTCTCCACCCTATGTTAGGGCAATAATTTACTTCTCATCAGTGCTTTCCTCTTTTTTTTTAATTAAAAAAATTAAATTTTTTTTTTTTTTTTTTTTTTTTTTTTTTTTAGTGCTTTCCTCTTGCAAGTGTCTCTTAGTGTTGTTTTCTTTGGGTGGGGGCTTTTTGAGATAGGTTCTCATTATGTAGTACAGGCTGAACTTGAACTCACTATGTAGCCTCAGGCTGGTCTTGAACTCTCAGCAATTCTCCTGCCTTAGCCTCCCCAGTGCTGGGATTACAGGCTTGTGCCACCATGCTTGGCTTTACAAGTGTCTCTTGATAACATGGGCACCTAAATCTTCTGTCTACTGCATTGAAACCACCTGATGTAAAAAGGCTAATGTGAAGAGCCACAGGCCCATCCTTCATCCTGAGGGGATTTCTAGCATATTGGGTGGGGGGAACCACTGTTTAGAGTAAACAATAATACTTTCCTTTCTTGTGTTCTCCAGGCCTCTGTTGGGCTGACACCACGGATTTGTGAGGTATAGACTCTCTTGACTGGATTTTCTATGGTTTCTTTTTCTTTTTTTTTTTTTTTTTGCGGAACCAGGGATTGAACTCAGACCCTTGTGCTTGCCAAGGAAGCACTTATTCCACTGAGCCATCTCTCCGGCCCCATGGATTTTCTAAAGTAGGTCTTCTTTATCTATTCCCTTCAGTGAGATCCCACCTCTTTGGTCTGTGCAGGGTCTCTTCATCAGAGAGGAAGACTGTGCCTCATTATTTTCTTCCTGTAGGATAAAAGTGAGGTAAGAACCCATCAAGCTCCAGAATCTGAAAGGTTCCCTATTTCTGTTCCCAATTTCAGTGTGTTTAGCTGTCTTTTCTTCTTCTAGAATCATCAGCAGGATAGAGAAAAGTCACAACAGACAACTCTTGCATTACCAGGAGGATGAGGAACATATTGGGTTCTTGGGTTATAGGAAACTTAATTCCCTCCTGTGGACTTAACAAGCAACTCTTTTCAGTGGCCCTGCTTACCATGAGTATCTCACTGTACTTTCCATCACTTTCTGTGTTAGTCAGCTTTTTGTTACTGTAACCAAATACCTTGAGAAAATCAATTTAGAAGAGGAAAGATGTATTGTACCTCCTGGTTTCAGTCCATGATCTGCTATTGATTTTGAACCTGTGGCAAGGCAGAGCCATCATGGCAGAAGGGCATTGCTGAAGAAAGCTGGTCATTTATGATAGCCAGAAATGGGGGATGTGTGTGCCACAGTGAAAAGGGGCCAGGACAGGATGTAGTGCCCAAAGGCACATTCTCAGGACCCATTTTTAGTACATTCAGTAGACTAATCCATTGATGAAGTTAACACCTCTGTGATGAAATCACTTCCAAAAGCCCTGCCTCTGAACACACAAGGCTTGGGGGGGTACATCTTAGATCCAAACCATAATAGTTACTGTATAGTTTCATATCAGCTTTTGGGGCTTCTCTTCCCAAACTCCTACTGGGTTCTATAGGGCAGTAGTTTCCAAACTAGAGCTGGCTTTATCAAGATAAATCCTATGTTTCATTTGTTTGTTTGTTAAGTGTTCAGAGTCATTAAAAAAAAATCAAGATGTAATTCACCTCTCATAAAATGCACTTACCAGCCAGGTGTAGTGGTACGTACCTATGCAGTCCCAGCTACTCAGAAGGTAGAGGCAGGAGGATCCTAAATTTGAGGTGAGCTAGGACAATTTAGTGAGAACTGTCTCAAGAAAAACAAAAAGATGCTGGGCATGGTGGTACGTACCTACAGTCCTAACACTTGGGAGGCTGAAACAGGAGAATCACTACAAATTCAGAGTCAATCTAGGCTACATAATGAGATGCTGTCTGAAAAAAAGAAAAAAGATGAGAATTGTTCTGGTTACAGTAGGGCCAGAACTGGGTTGTTTTTGAGACAGTGTCTTACTATATAGTTCAGGCTAGCCTTGAACTCATGATCCTCCTATTTCAGCTTCCTGGATTCTGGCTTTAGAGGACTATGCTACCATGCCTGGCTCTGGATGTGACTTTTTATTCTGGTACTAGGTTCAACCCACAGCTTTCACATTGAACTGTATATACTCTCACACCTACCCACCCCTTTTAAAAACTTTTTAGGTATGGTCTTGCTAAGTCAATAAAATGCCCAGGCCGGGCTTCAATTTATAGCCCTCTCTTGTCAGTTTCCCAGAGTACTTAGATTATAAGCATGCACCATCATACCCTACAGCGATTGGACCTTTTTAATTTAGCTTTTCTCCTTAGTACTGGCTCTTGAGCTAACTTTACAGAACAATAGAAGGATCATATTTAAAAGTCTAATCAGACCACTGTCTCGTGACAGAATATTCTAAGAAGTATACTGAGGTAATCCTGGAGGGCTAATCCTAGATTAGCACAGACATCAAAGCCAACACTGGTATGGTGACCACCAGTGCTCAAACCCACAGAGAAAGATACTTGAGGGGAAGCCCTGGCTTGATTAAGATCTTAGCTTGGCAGAGGTAGAACAAGAACCTAGAACCTTCTAAATTTTTTTCAAATAATTTAAATACAAATTTAGAACCTTCTGATTGTTAGCATAGTCAATTTTTTCTTTTTAAAAATTTTATTTTTATTTATTTATTTTTAAACATTTATTTATTGTGTGTGGGGGAGTGGCCAGCTCAGCCCACCAGGGGGCGCGGCTGGCTGGCATGTGGTGCTGGGGGATCGAACCGCGGTCCTTGTGCTTTGCTTAGCTTAGTTTGTTCCAAGTAGGTGCTTTAGACCACTGAGCCATCTCTCCAGCCCCTTAAAAATTTTAATTTTATTGTCTTTGTCTCTTTCTCTAGTTTCCTGGAAATCTATAATGAACGGGTACGGGATCTGCTAAAGCAGCCTGATAAAAAAAAGTCCTATACCCTGAGAGTCAGGGAGCATCCAGAGATGGGACCCTATGTACAAGGTGAGCTACTGTGTACTGGAAGTCTGAGACCAAACTTCAGTCAAGAAGCTCTCCAAATATTCCTTAATGTTTTCATGTGTCTAAAGAATACTCAGCCATGTGCCAGCCACATATAGAACAGTAGACAGAAAAGATAAAGTCCTGCCCTTATCTTGGTGAGCAAGCTTACACCCAAAACCAGATACTAAATTGGAAGTTGTGATAAAAACTTAAAAAAAATATAAGTAAATATAGTCATGTGAAAGAATCTTGGGAGGTGTAGGCAACTCACCTGCCAGATGTTAAGGGAAGCTTCCTGGTATTCAGGGAGCTAAAGGCCATGAAGGAGCCAGTCCAGTGAGCAGTGACAGTGAGGAGAACAGAGAGGCCAGTGTGGCCAAAGCATAGTGAGTGCGGGGAAGGGTGGATCTGCAGGTGCCACCGCTGGCAGGTCTCGCCAGGTTCCTAGGTCTGCCAGTCTCCTTTCTAGGGTGCTTTCTCTTCCACATGTGGTAGAGATGGAGAGATGAGAGGCCTGAGGTAACTGCTGTGCTTCCTCATCTGTCTGTCTTCATTGTTAGGTACTGCTGTTACCTGTATGTCTCTGAAAAATAAAACTGAGTCTTAGATGAGTTTTTGCTCCAAAAGACACAGTAGGGCTTGTTTTAGGGATCGTCTTATTTTTCATATACAACAATCCATATATTTTATTTATTTATTTATTTTTGCATTGGAAATCAAACTCAGGACCTTGCCCTTGCCAGGCAGGCAGGCACTTGTACCACTGAGCTATATTCCCAGTTACATTTATACATGTATTCATGTATACAAATTTATTTTCATTCAAATATAGGCATGTCATCATCTTCTGAAACATGTCATAACTCCCAAAACCCTGAATACTGGCCTGTATTTCTTTTTTTTTTTTTCGGAACCAGGGATTGAACTCAGGCCCTTGCGCTTGACAGGCAAGTGCTTATTCTACTGAGCCATCTCCCCAGCCCCTGGCCTGTATTTCTTGCAGCTCCATTTCCTATATAACCTTGGCCCCAATTTCTCATGTCCAGCAGCAGAGTCTCCTTAAATGAGCACTTCCTGTCCATGTAGCCTGCTCCTAGTGCATTGGCAACACAGCTGCCAGGGATTTTATCCCAGGAATTCTGCACCCGGGTCATGACCTCTTGCAAACTGGGCATGACAGAATTTCCATTAAATCAAGCGTTAATTGAAGACTTATCAAGACAGGAGTGGCAACAAAAATGATGACTTTTAAGGATGATGGTTGTCTTAGTTACTTTTCATTCATTGCTGGGACAGAATACGTGACACCCAAAATTAAGAAAGGAAAGGTTTATTTAGCGCAGTTTGTGGAGGTTTCAGTTCATATTTCACTGGCTCCACGTCAAATGGCAGCAGTTCATGTGGCAGAAAACAGTGAAGAACAGAGGAGCAGCAGCAGTTGTGGCATCCATCAAGCCTCTCTCTTCCTGCTATGCTGACTGCCAAGACCTATGCTCTACGACAAAGATTGGTGCTCCTCCAAAGTGGCACAGCTGCGAAGATCAAGCTCCACCGAGGTGGCACAGCTGCAAAGTGGCGCAACGAAGACCAGGACTTTCCCAGAGAGGCAGGATGGGGACTGCCAGGAAGCCTTCCTCAAGTCCTTTATATACACTTCTTGTGCTAAGTCACTCTAGGGGCCCCCTCTTGCCCTAGGGTGGAACCAATCTCACCCCAGGGCGGACCATCTACAGCCACATTGTACCAAGCAGATTCAGCCAAGTTGACACAGTGTATCAACCACTACAATGGTCCACACAAAAATGATGAACCAAAACTCAGAAAATGCTTCTTTATTTGACATGCGTGCATTAAGTACATCTGTTATAATACATAGTGTACTGAATTATGAGCATTCACATTAGTCACAACCACATCTATTGGTTATCAAGTGTACATGATATTTATGTATTGTATCTGTACTGATTGGGCATTTGGCAAGAAATCTTAAGTTCATCTGTTTGCACAGATGTTTATCTCTTCTCTAGAGGTACCCACTTGGGAATTTACAAATACTTAATTATAATTTATATTACCATTTATTTTAAGTAGTAATGTCAGTAATATTATTTATATTTATGTACAGTATTAATATTTTAGCATTCTATATGTTGCCATCTATTGCAGTAGATGTATTAAATGTGTCTGTTGGGCTGATGATCATAATTGGGCCTTTTTTTTTTTTTTTTTCGGTACTGGGGATTGAACTCAGGACTTTGTGCTTTCCAGGCAAGCGCTTATTCTACTGAGCTATCTCCCCAGCCCCATGGGCTTATTTTTAAGGTAGAGCTTATACTATGAACATCCTGAAAAGTCATTTTAGGGTTTATTTTGTGGTTATTATTATTTTCAGGGAAAAAAAGTAAGTAGAAACAATTAGGTCTTTTTTTTTTTCTTTTTTAAAATCTTTATTTATTTGGTACAGGATCTCACCACACAGCTCAGACTCATAGTGATCCTCTTGTCTCAACATCCCCATGCTAGGATTACAGGCGTGACACACTATGTGTGGTTTTGATGGCTGGAACAGCATAGGACCGACATGGCATGTGGTACTGAGGATCAAACCCAGGTCCTTGGGCTTGCCAGGCAGGTGCTTAGACTGCTAATAATTAGGTCTTTTTGTGAAAGAAGCTTTTACCTGTTCATGTCATTTATAAGGAGTAACATAAATGTTATTATGTTCCTGTTCTCACAGCAGTATGCTAATTTAAATTCTGACAAGGAGAGGGACATGAAAGATCATGAGCTTGTCTCTTCTGGTCAGGCATAGCTAATAGAGGACCCAGTGAAGTCTCAGTTTCTGATTCTATTTTCCCAAATGTTCCATTATAAATAGTAGCTGGGAAACATAAAAATATATCATTTTCTTTGTTAGGAATCAGTGTGAATTTCCTTGGAAAGCTCTGTAGATACACATTCTTGTATAAAGCAGTATTTTTAATTTTTATATTTATTTATTTTTGTGGAACCAGGGATTGAACTCAGGCCCTTGCGCTTGCCAGGCAAGCACTTATTCCACTGAGCCATCTCCCCGGCCCCCCCTTTTTTTTATTTTTAGTTTATTTTTTTGGTGGAACCGGGGATTGAACTCAGACCCTCGCACTTGCCAGGAAAGCACTTATTCCTCTGAGCCATCTCCTGGTATACCATGAGTTCATGCCATGTCACAGCATTTTTTTTTTTCCTCTATTTTTGGGGGGTTGTGGTGGTGGTGGTACTGAGGATGGAATCCAGAGCCTTGGTGCATGTGAAGCAAGGGTTCCACCACTAAATAACAAACATTTCTAGCCCTTTTTTGAGGCAAGATGTCACTAAGTTGCCCAGGCTGGCACTGAACTTGCAATCCTCCTGCCTCAGCCTCTGCAGAGCTAGCATTACAGGTTTGTGCTACAGTGCCCAGCTATAACCTTTTATATTTTTGTTGCCTTTTATTTTTTCATTATTGAGGACTGAACACAAGATCTTTGCACTGAGCTTCATTCCCAGCCACCACTACTCTCCTCTTTTCCTTTCCTTTTCCTTCCCTCCCTTTCCTCTTCCCTTGTCTCTCTTTTCTTTTCTATGCCCTTCCCCCTTTCCCTTCTCTTTCTTTTTTTGGAACCAGGGATTGAACTCAGGCCACTGCGCTTGTCAGGCAAGTGCTTATTCCACTGAGCTAGCTCCCCGGCCCCTCCCTTCTCTTTCTTGACAGGATCTTGGCATGTAGTTCAAACTTGCCTTGAATTCATTATGTAGCCCAGGCTGACCTCAAACTCAGGGCACTCCCACCCTCAGCCTCCTGAGTGCTGGGATTTATATGTATGTACCACCACACCCAGCTCTCAGCCCCTTTTTATTAAATTTAGAGATGATCTCACTGTGTTTCTAAATTGCCTCAGCTGGGCTCAAATTTACAGTCCTCTCCCTTTAGCTGCACAGAATTCTGGGATTTTAGGTGCATGCTACTGCACCTGGCTCAATTTCTCATCTTAGAATAATGCGTGCATGTGCATGCGCGTGCGCGTGTGTGTGTAACCACAAGAGATCTCAGAGATAGTCCAAATGTCCTCATTGTACAAGAGACAAAATTAAATCTGGAAGAAGTTTAAGGGCATTCCCAAAGTCACACCATTGTTGGAATAGTATTATAACTGGGAAGCTTGCCCAGGCCTGGAAGGTAGGGCTGTACAGAATATGGTGTACATTAAAAACCTGACTAGAAACCTGGGATCATAGTTTCATTGGTCAGCATAGCACCTGCAGCCCAAAGAAGATGAATTCATGCAAGGCGAGGGTCATACTGCTTGAATTGCATGCCTGAAATCAATGACAGGCTCAGTGTTAAAATCTCAGAGCTCGTGATGCAAGCTCAGGGCTCTTTTGACGTCATGGTATGAAGCCTTGGTGGGAGGATGTTAGGCAACAAATAAATTCTAAAATAGCAAAAGGTCTTATGTCCTTTGGTTTCTTAAAGGCAGTCTGCAGTTTACCAAACCATAGGAAATACAAATGGACATTTCTTAGTGAAAGACCTGTGAGCTCAGTGATACAGAATCAGCCTTGGAAGCTAGGGCCCTATGTGGTCACACTGAAGTGTGTGATTCCTGTTATTCCCCTCTGATGACATGGTAGCAAACTTTTTATTCACATGTTTATATTATCTATCTTTCAGGTTCATGTATTTTTGTGACTGACTTCAAAGGAGAAAGTGGTTTCTGGTTTAAAACCAATTCTTCAGAAGTTTATTGAGTTAGCTACTTGATGCCTGAACTGTTCAGAGCATCATGGAAAATATAAAAATACAAGATCCTTAGTTCGTTGTACCTGGGAAAAGCTACCTTTTTGCCATGAGCATTAAATTTGCAGCTGTGCATGATGGTGCATGCTTGCAGTCACAGTACTTGGAGGGCTGATGCAGGATGCTCACTGAAAGTTCAGGGTAAGCCTGGACTACATATTGAGTTCAAGACTAGCCTGAC